GTGGTCTTTAGGGAAGGAAATCTGCCATCCTTACCTGCTCTGACCCACATGCAAATCCAGACCTGATGTCATTCTAGTTAGTTCCGAGGAAGGGTCACTGGACCCGAAACATTAACTCTGTTTTCTCTCCACAGACCTTCTGAGTTTTTTCCATCAATTTCTGATTTTGTTTCTGAGCATCCATAGTTCTTTTGGTTTTTATTGACCAATGTGATTAACTCTTAACTGCCCTCTGAAGTGGCCTAGTGACCAAAGTACTTAATTTTGAACAAACAAGGATAGGGAACAATTACCAGAGATGCCCCCATCCCATGAAATAGCAGTAGCACTAATGATGTACAATAGCACAAAGCTCCCAGCTACAGCCAACAAGCACCCACTTATTACAGAACCTAAAGTTACCAAACTTTAAGGAGTGTCTGGAAAATTAGACAGTGATACTGAGTTCCTTTCGATAATTTCAAACAATAATCCAGGATGATATATTTGATTGGTGATAGATATAAAAATGTGAATCATTGTTTTCGTCAGTGCAGCTGAGACCCACAGTATGCTAATGGTGGGAAAGTAGAGATATATATATATATATATATATACGTCTGATACTAATTTTAGACTCGAGGGCACAGAGCCAAGAAATAATCATAGCTATGTATCATATCAGACACAGGATGATGGATCTACAGTGTCTGAGTTTAATAGGGGAGGGGTGTGCGTAGAGTACGAACAAACTGGAATGACTAATCTCTTTCAGTATGAGAGAATTTGATATTTGTCTTCACTGCTCCAAACTAATTTTCCATGGTACATATTCATCAATTGCGTCATTGTTTGGCTCTTTTGGAACTGTCTAAAGATCAGACTAGACTTGTACTTGGGAAATTGCCCAAAGCCTTTCCCTCACTTTCCATTTTTACTTTCTCAGAGTGACTTGTCCCTAAGTTAGATTTTTGGAGACAATTGGTGCCACAATCTCAGCCCTTGCTGCTCACCTTTCTTTGGGACCTGGAGTCTGAATCTCAACTTTGTGTTTAAAGAAAAAGACAAGCCCGAAGTTTAATTAACAGTAATAAAAATTGGTGTCTATGGGCCTGAGAAGGTTAATACAGAGGAGTACCATAAGCTCCTCTCACTTTATTGATGTCTTATCGACTTGTGAGAAGAACAGCTGAGGATGTCAACAGAGAGAGAACAATCCTGTTTAGAGTCTCTGTGACGGCAAGTGAAACCTCCTCAGGATCTGAGTGACATGGATTACAATGAGATTTGGGACGGAAGTGGACGGGAAATTTGGTGAGGTCCATCTCAATGTCAAGAACATCTTGCTGCAGCTTTCATGCTTTTGCTGAGTGGCAAGGCAAGTTTCTCACAAGGCAAGTTGCCAATTAATGGAGATTATTGCTTGTTAAATGTCTAATTAATGTCCGAATTGCCTCATTCATATTCTGCATCCTATCTTACCAAACATGTTGAACAAGCGACGTGTTGAGAAGTTCTCACATGGCCATCAGGGTGGGTACCTGGAGACTTCAACTCACTGTGAGGAGACTCCCACACTGTATCTCATGGCAATATCCATAGGCATTAGCCACACACTCCTTTCATACACAGACAGGTATCATTTCATTGCAGGCAGTTCAGAGAACGTTCATTAGGATGCTCCTGGAGTAGAGGGATTGTCTTGTGAACAAAGGTTAAACAAGTTGGGACCCTACTCACTGGAGTTTAGAAGAATGAGAGGTGATCTCATTGAAGCATATCGGATTCTTAAGCGGCTTGACAAGATAAATGCTGAGCGGGTGTTTTCCTTCATGGGAGAGCCTAAGACCAGAGGGCATAGTCTCAGAATAAAGGGACACCAATTTAAGATTGAGATGAGGAGGAATTTCTTCTCTCAGAGGGTTGAGGGTCTTTGGAACTCCTTAGAGTCCTTGTGTATATTTAAGGCTGAGACAGATTCTTGATTAGTTGGGGAATCAAGGGTTACAGGGAAAGGATGGGGAAAGTGGGGATGAGGATTGTTGGATCCTATTGGATAGTAAAGCAGGCTCGAGGGGCTGAGTGGACTACTCCTGTTCCTCTTTCTTAAGGTGGTCAATATTTGGCAACACCTCATGATCATTGTGGCACCTCTCCAATCCACTTGCAGGTCACTTACGAAACACAGACGTGCATTATGAGCTACACCAGCAATAGCATTGAAAGGCTGCTGCAAGGACAGAGCCAGGCATGTGGCTCATCGATTGGACCAGGATACACAGTGTGGGCTGCTTGGTGGCTCAATGAACACCTCCCAGCATGCTCCATGCTCACAGAGAGAGACAACTGTTCAGTAGGGAGCTGAGTGGGGATGGTGAAGTAGGTGATGCTGTATGACAAACTGAGATGGCACATGCCAGCTGCCTGCCAGGCAAACACATAGCACGTTTATTCAAACAAATGGCTGTGTCACAAACGAGGTGGGGGCTAGTCCTGAGTCCAGTGAAAGGGTTGCTGTTGACAGTCAGGGAGTCTTGTGGTTATCTGTCAGGGGCACAGTCCCCACATTGTACAGGGGATTGGCCACACTCATCCATTTGGAACACTCATGGTCAGCATGTCTGTCTGGTTACAGTACAGAGAGTGGGCAGTGGTCACTCCTGGAGGGAGTCAGTGAGGTGTATTGTGGGGTTTGTCAGGAGGCTGCAAGGACAGTGGTCAGGGTTCTGGTCAGGGTTCTGGTCAGGCATGTCTAGGGGCTACTCACCAAAGCCAGTTAGAGGCCCGGAATGAAGACAGTCAGAAGCCATAGGGGCAGCAAGGGTATCTCTGCCAAAAGGGATGGGGGAGTCATGCAGGGGCAGAATGTAGATGCATTTGTAATAAGACAGTGATAGGAGGAAACTCAATGTCTAAGGGGTATATAGAACAGCACTAGAGGGCATGGCAGGCTATGGGAGGGGGTATTACTGGCAGTGACCACTAGCATGGCCTTGGTAGGGGCAGTGTAGAGGACAAAGATAGGCATCATTGCGATGTTATGTCATAGCTTGGGGCACGGAGAACAGTTAGAGATGGAGGGTGTCCACACTGAGGGGATGGAGGGGGAAGGGGCAGTGTGAAGTAAAAGGGGACAGGGAGGCCCTGGGCGAGGTGCAAGCTGCGGGTCTCTGGTGGGAGCAGTGTATCAGTGATGGATAGAAGGTACGCACCTCGCTGCCCCACTGCTTCCGCCCCAACCCCAGTGACCAATGAACACGTCACAACCATGGAACAAAAGACAGCTGTATGTCCACTCAGTATCAGAATCATGTGTTCATATATTATTCCTGGAACTCTCATAAGGTGTGACTGTAACAAGTGTGATAGACATCTTTGTGAAGGACAGTATCTGAGGTGTGGGTCCTCGGAGAAGTTCAGAAAGGGGATGTTCTTCCTGATGACTCCCCTCCCCCTTCCTGTCTCTCCCCACTTCTCCTTCTTTCTCTTCTCCTCTTGTTCATCCTGCATCTCTCGAGGCATTCCAACTTTATCTGCCGACAAACAGCTTTGAAGACCACCACAAGATGATATTTTCTTTGTTCATGGGATGTCAGCATCACTAGCATTTATTGCCTATCCCTATTTGTTAAGAGTTAACCACATTGTGGTAGTAGTCACAAGTAGGCCAGACCTGATAAGGATGGCAGATTTCCTTCCCCAAAAACGGAAAATAATAAACGGGATGGACTTTTACCAGCAGTCCTTACATGGTTGCCATTAGGCCAGCTCTTTATTCTAGATTTTTTTGTTAAAATTCAAGCTTCACTATCCACCATGGTGGGATTCAAATCCACATTATATTGTCCTGGGGTGCTGGATTACTAGGCCAGTGAGATTACCACTACACCATCACCAGGCTGGTGTGAGCCTGTTCTGAGACAGGAAAACAGTCAAGTAAATCTCAGCAGTTCAATGTTTTCAACCAAGAAAGCTCAAGCCAGCATCAAAGCTGCATGTAGTGGATTTACCCTTTCAGCAATGCTTCTAATGTACCTTACTGGAGTTCAGTCAGTTGCTGGGCATGTTTATCACCTGGTTTGCCAAATATTGGGTCAGGTCCAGTAACATAAAAGAGTCTGACAACAAGCATACAATTCTATTCGAATGTTTTAATGAACACTGCTACAGTAGGTGGTGCAGTGGCTCAGTGGTTAACACTGCTACCTCACAGCACCAGGGACTTGGGTTCCTGTCCAACCTCAGGTGACTGTAGGGAGTTTGCATGTCGTCCCTGTGTCAGTCTGGGTTTCCACTGGGTGCTCCAGTTTCCTTTCACAGTCCAAAGAAGTGCAGGTTAGGTGGGTTAGCCTTGGGAAAAGCAGGGTTTTGGGGTGGGTCTGGGTGGGAAGGTTGGCGTGGAACTGATGGGTCGAATGGCCTACTTCACACTGTAGAGATGCTATGAGTTGGACACCCAAAATCAACTGGGTGCAGCATAGGAGAAGTGTGTGTGCTGCGCGCTGTATTGGATGTTTGGCTCCCAGTTTTGTGCCTGGAAAATGGATGCAGTGTCAATTAAAATGCAAGCCACCATTGCCACAATTCCTCTTCGTCCCTTTACTGTACCATGAATTGTAGCTTAGGTTAGCTGTGCTATAGATTTGATTTCCATTTAGTGCACTGGACTGGGTACTGAGTGGCTTTATCACTGGCTTTCTAACTCAGGGACCTTGGATCTAGTCTAAACGAAAGTGGTTGCGATGAAGATCTCCTGAAGCTATCTGCTCACTTTAAAGATCCTTTATCATATGGCTGTGGGCCAGTTGTAACCCACTACATCTCCACTCATTGTTTCTTGCTTTCTATCTTCTCAGTCTTGGTGTTGTTCTTCCTTGCTGGGTTTTGGTCAAGGTTGTTCATGAAACCAAGGAAGGAGATGTAGGACTGAATTCTTCATTCCATTTCCCATCTTGCAAATAGAGATACAGGAACTGCAGAGGGTTAAAGCAAAAGATTTATAAGGGTGATACCAGAACTGAGAGACTATAACTGTCAAGAAAGATTAAACAGGCTGTGGCAGCTTTCTCTCAGACAGTGAGGAGGTGACCTGGTCATGGGCTTCAAAATTATGAAGGGGTCTAATAGACTGATGGAAGCTAATGCCATTTGAGGTGGAGAGCAAAAATCAGGGTAATAAACACTGTGTGTGGGCTCATTCAAGCCTCATATGGATTAGGATATTCACCTTTCTGGTCTAACTGGTGAGTAAACAGTATGAAATTTATTGCATTATTCCAACTATTTATACAGGTATGAATGTGACCCACAAGACCATAAAATGTAGGAGCTGGAGTGGGCCATTCAGCTCATTGAGTCTACTCTGCTACTCAGTGAGATCATGGCTGATGTGATGATCCTCAAACAAAAACAGAAATTGCTGGAGAAACTCAGCAGGGGTGGCAGAATCTGTGGGGAGAGACAGAGTTAATGTCTCAAGTCCAGTCCCCCTTCACTTTCCTGACCTACATTATGACAGAGACTGTTAGGGGAGCACTTGCCCCAAGTCTGAGTCCTACAGGCTCCTTTGTTACTCTGACAAGGTCCCAGTGGGTGGTGTTTACTGCAGTCAATCAAATGTTAACCCTTTCAGACCCATATACAGAAATACATCTAAGATAGCCGCTTATAACTCCAATTCAGGATAAACTGATCCTGATAGTGTTTAGAATGTGAAACTTGCTACATCAGGAATAGTAGTGAAAAGCGTAGAGACATTTATGGTGTAGGTAGAGTCATACATGAGAGATAAAGGAATAGAAGGAAGTGCTGAATGTGCAAGATGAAGCTGATTGGAGGAGGTCGTGTGCAACATAAACTGCAGTCTAGACCAGACAGTCTGATACTTCAGTGTAAGTTTGATTTAAGAGTTGGCTGAAGTGTTGGTTAGTCAGTGGAAGTGGGAGTCAGAATAGTTGGTATTGGGAAACCGGTTTGGCACAGGAAGATCAGTGTTCTGTCTGCTAATAACAGTAGCAAGTGACTGCTTAAAACTAACTTTGACATTATGCTGACAAAGATCTTTGTTGGGGATTAAGCGTGTACAAGTGACCTCTATTTAACCTAGTTTCTGGCTGAGCCTTTCATGTTGTTCAGTGTGTGCCTTTGCATTTGAGATAGAGCTACCTCTTCATATCAGGATAGACCAGCTCTGCACTAGTATCACTGTTTTTATTATCACTAGGAGAGGATTCTGGCTAAAGGAGGAGCGAACTCATTTAGATTCAAAATGACTTGATGGACACACTCAGTTCCTTACAGGGTAACTATCAGCATACTCAGCACTTTTCCTGGAGGGATATAAATACCGATGACAATTTTTCAGGATCTAATTGTTTATGACTGATTTGACTGTTAAGGTTTTATTTCTTTCTTGGAGCTTTTTACTGGAAAATGTTTCCGTGCATCTGGGCCCAACTCCACTAGTTTGCCCAATTGGCCATTCTCCACGTGCAACTTTACACCAGGCTTGTTGGCTAGCTATTACGCAGCAGGAGGCATCACTACTTAACCAATTCTGTCCTCACCCTGAACCCGCTGATGTGCAGTCTCCAGTAAGAGGTCACTGCATAGTGATCAGAAGCAGGAGTCCTGCTTAGTTTTCGCCTTCTTTTGTCCAAATGAATTGGAGTTGACGATATGAGCCCAGCTCTGTGGTCAGTCTAATCCAGCACAGAGCAGGCACTGAGCCCGCAGTCCTGTAAAGTTCAGCAGCACACCATGCATGTGTCCATTTAACCACAGAATCACTGCACACACATTTAACAAGGAAACACGGAGTAAGTGTATCCTTCTCTTATCCTCCTAAAACCAAACTTCTCCTGTTCACCATCACCATCAAAGTATCGACTGGCTAAAATTAGATCCAGCCCTTCAAATATCTTGCATTTAAAATTCTATTTCTTGTCTTTAAAATCCTCAGTGGCCTCATCTCTCTCTATTTTCGCCAACTTCTTCCAGCTCTCCCACCCTCTCTGAGAACTCTTATGTTTCTCAAACTCTAACTTCTTGCACATCCCTCATATCTTTCAATGTTAATGGAAGGGAAAATCTGGGGAATGAAGAGTTAATTGCAATGTATCGATGATCTAGCCATCGCATAGGCTGTGCCTCAACTGCGACATGGGTAGATGGTGGCCAGAGAGGAGTCTGCAATGGAGAAGATCAGTGAAGTAGAGCACTATATAGCACCATAATGATGTGTTTATTGGACTACAACAGCAGGAGGTGCACTCATAGTGCAAGCAGGCACATTGCCTTTGATGTTACTGTCTGTGAGCGAACATGCTCACTGCCTGACTAGACCTGGAAGGTTTCAGCTCCTTGTGTTGGTAAAAGTCAATAGTGATGCAGTGCCACAATCTCACAGAAAAATTGCTGTCGCATGTAACAATGGGAAAGACCTGAACCACACAGCAATGGTGGGGGAAGGAGAGGAGTTCTGCATCGGCAGGATGGAGAAGGATTAGCCAGCAATGAGGGGGGAGACCAGTGCACTGGAGCGGGGCGCAGTGTGTTGCTGGATGTGCAATGTGTTGGGGAGGAGGGGCAGTGTGATTGAGGAGGAGGGCAGTGTGATGGAGAGGGAGGACAGTGTGATGAGGGGGTGGGGGAAGGCAGCATCATGGGGGGCAGTGTAATGGAGTGGGGAGGGAGGGCAGTGGGGATCAAACCAAATTGGGGTGGGGAACAGTCAGCAATGAGGGTTGTCCAAATGGGGTGGTGAGAGGGCCAGTAGACAGCTGTGGGTGGTCTATCTCTGGTTCCAGTGCTGCATGGGTGCACAATGATGACATCAATGGCACCAACAACTGTTTGTATGCATTGGCAGGTAATACATTAATTGTATGTTATGTAAATAAAGAGCTGGAATTACTTTACCGTGACCTTGCCCAATAAAGTACATTTATTTACAGCATTGAACATTACAAGTATCTATCTCCCAACCCAACAACTACTGCTTGAGTCTGTATCAACTTATAGAGCAGCAAGTGATTTCCCTGTTAGTATTAACTGCTTGCATAGAATTAAACACAATTAATATAAACTGAACATATAATTAAGATGTGTTTTTCTAATTCTAACATCTTGCAAATGTCCACTTTCTTTATTCTCACCTTCCCCCACCTCACTGATGGTTGTCATAACCAGTAATCACCCATGGATATTTCAGACTTTAACTATATGCATATTTTTACAAATGTAATTCTGGTCATTAGTTCACTGTAGATGTAAATTCATTGGCTGCCCAGAGAGAGAAAATCTGGAATGTTACACCCGATGAAGCTTTAATGGGTAAAAATGCACTACAAACCAAACTTGTAATCTCCTGGAAATATTTCAGACCATAAACACAATGTTCAAAAAAAAAAGACAGCTGCCTTACCACGAGATATATTTGCAGTTCCATTCAACAGCACGCAGGAAAAGGGGTTAAAATGAGTTTCGACACTGGTCTGTAAATATTATTGGCCTGATATCCTAATGTGTGACGTATTCTGTGATGGGTCACAGCTCTGTTAACACCCACTTCAACACCTTTGCGCTGCAGGTAAAGGAAAGGGGCATATCTTCCTCACTCTGAGTGTGGCCAGTCAGCCACTGCCAAACCAGGAGAGAAGGGTTCCAATCATCTCACAAAGCCAACAATTTCAAAATCAATGAATCAACTTTTAATGTCAATGCTACTGGTTATACTGTTCAACTATTAACTCATCACAAACAATTCAGAGGCTGTTCTATATTTTGTTTTTTGACTCTTATTTTGTGGTCTCTCTTATTTCTTATCTGTGCATGTTGTTATGTTTCTAATTAGTCTTACGTTCAATAATTAACAAACTCACTTTTATTGTTAATGCAAGAAATGTGGTTAAATTGGCTCCTTTTATAACATGAGTTTATTTGGGTCTGGGAGGGAGGTGACCGTAAGGGAAGGGAGTCTTTAAAATTTGACCTTGTTATAATAGACCAGACCTCCACAACTAAGTGGAGGCAGCTCACCCATCTTTATCTGGGAGCTTAACAGTTTGACGTATTCAATCTGTAAGTGGGTAGCCTTGTCCAGGGACAAGTCATAGCAACAGTTACGCGTTTAGATGTCTCAGACTGATGCTTTGGAATTCCCTCAGCTAAACCTCTCCACCTCTGTCATCTTTTAATATCTCTTAAAATCTACCTCTTTGGTCAAGCTTGGGGTTTTATGTCCAAATGTTTCCTTAGATAATGCAGCTCAGTTAACTTGTATCTGTTATCACTAAAATCACTTTGTAAGTGCAAGCTGGTGTAAAGCTGTGACAGATCAGAAAAGAATTTCACATCTGCAGACTGGGTCCCCTGCAAATCAATGCAGGGTGTTTGGAGTCAACTATTCAACCAGAGAAGTATGGTAAGCCTGAGCAGTTAGCAAACGTGTGTGGAGGCCTTGGGGCCTCATGGACCATTTATTAAGCACAATCCTGTGTCATTTCCAATAATATAGATGAATGCAAATTCACAGGAGAAAGAACTAAAAAGCAGGTGAACTTGAGAAGTGATCTATCCAATTGCTGAAGTTGTTATAAGCACACTTGACTTAACACGAGAGCAGATTTTAATCTAAACACAGAATTCCAATGAGCCAAATCATTCTCTTTTGATTGACACTCTGTTCTGAATCCAGATGTAATACTTGCATGTATAATCCTGACTCGGTGTAATATTTTCCTCAAATGATTCCAACACTCACTGTAATGAATACTGGCAATCTGCTCTCAGCATATCTAGCGAAGTAGCAGTAGATCTTAATCCATCATTGTCAGTGCTGTTCCTCCTGGAATATCATTTGATGAGAGAGCACTTTATCAAAATGTTGCACTAGTTAACACATTAGTGTGAGAGGCAGCTGTTGTATATTTTGCTCATGTCAGGAATTAATCTAATCACCAAGGCCAGAGTTCCAGTACTGAAGGAATATGAACAAATCAATAAGGGGCAGAGGGAAGGTATTCAACTCGATGAGCCTGCTCTGCCATTCAATAGGATCATGACTGATCTAATTGTAGCTTGAAGTTCACATACTAACCCATCCCCAGTTATGTCACACTCTCTTGCTCAACACAGATCTATCCATCTCTGCTTTTGAGAAATAGAGTTCCAAAGACTCACAATCTTCTGATGGAAAAGTTTCTCCTCAACTCCATTGCAAATGGGATCCCCTTATTTTTAA